ATGTCACTCTCTGACATACCTTGAATTATTCTCCCTGACGCTGATCACGTTCCAGTGTCCTTCCTTCACTTCGAGGAGAGATTGGGTATGGCAGCAGACTGGTGACCACACATGCCAGCAACATAACCCCCTTACGAATGAAGGTTCGTGTCACCGCAGAGCAGTGCGCTTTTAGGGCAAAGCACGTGAGGGTGGGCAGCACGTGATGGCTCAGGTCTTTGTGTTGGACCAGAGGAGGCAGGTGTGTGTGAGAAGGCTCCTCCACCTTTCCTTTGTGCAGCCACAGCACTTGCCAAGGCGTTATTAGTGGGGCTCTCATGTTTCAGGGCAGACTATTGAGCAGCTGCTCAAGTGCCAGCTCAGTTGGTAGCCTCGAAAACAAAACATCCCTTGTTTCTCATCACCATTGTAAATGACGTACCCAAGGTTCCTGAACCTTGGGTTTGGCCCTGCATCTTTCAGGAGACAAAATGTGAGATTTTTGCCAATGATGTATTCTTCTAGGTCTGTTTTATATCCGTTATCAATTTAATGTGCCACTTTAATGAGATTTTGCTTTTTCCGTCTCCTCCATAGAGCAGATTACTTAGCGTGTGCGGTTGGACTTTGTTTTTTTTCTTTTTTAAAGGAGACTCCAGGTGAAGAAGTTGAATGCTTCCTTCAGCTGAAGAGAGTATTTCCCAAGTCCTAGTGGGAAAAGGTGAAAAAGGGGGCCAGAGGATGTTGCTGGTAGGTTTGTACATGACAGGAAGCCATGACTAGCAGTGTAATTGTCAACAGGAAACAAAAAGTCATAGCTGATGTGACACCGCCATATAATACACTTTCTGTGTCGTGTTGCCTGCTGGACTGTGTGGCCTGGGAACCATTGTATGTCTACATGAGATATCCTCCTGTCCATTCATCTGCTGGAGTTTGAATTGTTCTGCATCTGGTGAATCCACTTTGCTGGAGTTGTCAAACCCTGGGATTTTTTCTTGACGCCTGCTACTGTAAAGATCTTCAACAGCTATGGGGAGAAAAGGGATGTGTGAGCAACCTTCACCAGCTGGCAGCTGAGTGCTCTTCAGACCCCAGGCAGCTTTGAGGTATCTCAGCTGTTCAGTGCTCTGCAGATATGAACGCTGAGCTTTTCTGGCACGTTCTCACATTGGCCTGCTCGTTCTCACCATGCTAGTACATGGGAAAGAAGACTTCCTCTCAGACATAGCTTATATCATCCTGGAACTGATCATTGCAGTGCTGGCCATCCTGGGGAACATCCTGGTCTGCTGGGCAGTCTATTTGAATAGCAACTTGCAGAACGTCACCAACTATTTTGTGGTGTCCCTGGCTGCTGCTGACATTGCCGTGGGTGTGCTGGCAATCCCCTTTGCCATCACCATCAGCACTGGCTTCTGTGCCTTCTTCTATGGCTGCCTTTTCATTGCCTGCTTCGTCCTGGTCTTGACACAGAGTTCAATCTTCAGCCTCCTTGCTATTGCCATTGACAGAATCATTGCGATCCGCATTCCCCTCAGGTAAGCATCGGTTGGGCTGATGGGGCTGGGGTGGTGAGGGATGAGCACAGTAATAATAATGCATCTGGAGGTGAACTGAGGAAGGAAAAGTTAAATGAGGATCAGCACTTTTTCTCTTGTAATTTGAAGAAAACCCCACTTTTCTAGGTCTTGAAGGCTGCCTTGGTTGTTGGATTTTCTGGTTGCTTCTTTTTGCAGTTCTTCTCTGCCCTCATATATGGTGTATGCTCATGGTATTGCATGGTGCTGCCTAGGAGCTGCCATTCCCAATTTAGACAGGATCACACACTAACCTCAACCTGCATTCTGAGCTGCAGCCAACAGCACCAGAAGGATCCCTGTGGGAAAGCGGAGCTAAAGCAATGCATGGTGGAGGGCAGAAAGCGGGTGACGACAACTCGTCTCCTTCCCCATGGGGAGACTGGGATTCTGCAGCCATACCAGCAGGTTGTGGAAAGTGTGGATGGGGTTTTGTTAAATGTGAAGGGAGGAGAAGCAGCAGCAGGCTATGAAGAAGTGGGTCCTAGGAGGTTTTGGAATAGCTCAGGCACTGCCTCTAGAAACAATGCATTACGAGGTCAAAGCAGAGGCTTGTCCCTAATCAGACCTCCAGATGGTTATTCTGTGGTGTCTACTCTGGAGTTTAAAGGAAGAAAAGCACATTCCAGTATTAGAGCTTGAAAGCTGAACATGACTAGCTGCTACTTTGTGTGCAGCCAGGGACAAGGGGAAGTTTTGCCACACACACACAGGGGCTGCTACTCAGTTCAGTCTTCCAGAAGCACATTGCTGTGATGGGATATATCTGACTGTGAGTATGAAGCAGCATTTAATTTTTGTGGGCTGGTTTGAATGCTGTGTGACAGTGCTTCCAAGTCGTTCAGTAAGCTTGAAAGACATAGAGGAAGCCCATGAGAGGCTGGTGTAGGCAAAGTGTAGGAGTCTCCTTCCTTCCTGTTTTGCCCTTAGGAGGATGCAGCCCACTGTCAGGAATGGAGAGACTTGCTTCCTATCCTTAACAAATGTGGCTGCAAAAATGCAACAAATTTCTGATTGTTGTGTTCTCAAGCTCTTGGGAGCTTGCCTCTGAAATGACTTTGAGAAGGGCTGATGTCTTTAACTCCTCTCTCATGAGCTAACCCTGAGGGCTTTTGCAGACAGTTTAAGCACTCTTACTGCTAGAGGATAACTTAGCAGAAGGATTTTAGAATCTGGATTTCTGCCCATTTTTGGCAGTATCACTGTAACTATACCGTCTTGAAATTTAATTTCCTGGAATAGCCAAGGTGAAGAGCCCTTCACAAAAACCAGACTTGTCAGTGCTGGGTAACGAACCGGGTTTGCTATTTTGTTTTTGAAATAACAGAACACACCTTCCTCTGCTACAGGAATAGGGGAGCTGATTGGATGCAGAAACACACAGGTACATCCATGGGTTCCTCTCCTCCTTGGTTTTTGGACACCTCAGTGCATAATTAGTTACCTTTGGAATGATTTTTCTGTGGATAAAAGATCTTCTCCCCAAAAATTGCAGTGAGGAAAGACATCTAGATGTAAAATTTAACAATACATTAAATCTGATTTGTGCAAGTCTCGTGTTCTGCCTTTCAAATGAATCAAACATGCAGAATTTGACAAACTTCCCACAAGTTCTCAAACCCTTTGCTGAATTCTGCCATGTTTTATACAAATGTAATGCTCTGCACATGGCAATAAAGCACTGCCAAGGAAGTGAGCCTGAGTCATTGCTGGGTCTGGGATAAGATCTGAAATGTCTCTAACATGGCAGGTACCTGAAACCTGCGCTCACTGATACAAACCCCCCTGGGTGTTCTGAACAAAACTGGCTGCAAGTCTGAGCTGCAGGATGAAGTCATGGGCCACAAACAATTGCCACTTTTCAGGCTCTTTGGTACCAGCAAAGGCTTTGTGGGCACAGTGCCCAGCCATGTGTTTTGGTGCAGGCATCTGTGGTAAAGATACTCCCATGGTGAAGGACAGGGAGGTCCGATGCACTGGGGAGAGGGGAGACGTTTTTCTTCCTGCAGCTAAACAGAAAAGTTTTCTCAGGCTACTGCCTGATCAGTGTGCGGGATTCAGCTGTTGTGGTCTAAATACTGATGCAGGTCATATAGTGCCAACTACAGTAACTTGCTGAAGTGCAGACCTTTTCCTCCGTTGAAAGGTGCTTTGCAGATGACTGCCTAAGCTGCTGGGATGCTTCTCTAGGAAAGTGTTACTAAGGTGCAGCTCCCTGTCATTTGGAACATTGGGACAGATTTATCCCATGTACTGATGATTGAAACTGCAGCTTTGAGGGGGCATTGGAATTTTTTTTGCCGGAGTCTAGGGCAGATGGACGTGAAGAACTGGCTTCTCAGAGTCTGGGGTAGGAAGAATAAGGGAGATGAACACAAACCCTGAGTAAACGATAGGACATGGAAAGGTCCTTTGTGCTGACAACAGTCTGTTTCAGCAGTTGCTTTAATTCTCTAGGGTTGCCTTCTCAAATGCTCATATATGAACATCTGAATCAGTGAAGCAGGGATTTAAAGTTTTATTGTCTCTTTGAGCCATATCTGGACTTATTTCTTTCCCTGTTCACCATAAACCTTTTGACTTTATGACAAGCATTTCCTTTTTTTGTTTGTGTCAAATAGATCATGGGCAGATTCAGCCTAATATGAAAGAAGAATAATTCACTTCCTCCTTTGAACAAGCATGGGCATAGCTTTGAAAGCACTGCCAGTTGTCTGTGGCTTCATGTGCCACAGTGGAACTTCCTGTTACCACGCTTTTAGTCTGGAAACTGATTGTGCCTTGGGCAAAAGAATGGAGTCTGTCCACAGTTATTGCTTCTGGAGTTTACAGCCCTGTGCCCACCTTTGGGATCCAACCCTACACTTTCTTCGTAGCATAGACAAGCACTAGTATCAGCACCTGGTAATAGGGGAGGAAGTTTCTTGAGTGAGACTTTTGGCAAAGGATCGTTTAGGTGGTGCATGAGAAGGTCTGGGTTTGGCTTCTTGCTCTGCCACAAGATTTCCTCGACAATGCTGGGGTTGTCAGTGTCTGTGGTTTCCAGATGCATGTAATAGGGATAGAATACCCTCATGTTGTCTTGCACCTATGACTGCAGCTCCTGAGGTGTGGGCTGTTGAGTGGATGCATCCAGTAAATGGTGTTTTGTAGTGATTTGTTAAAACCCATTGAGCACTGCTGGGATTCAGATCAAAGCCCAGTGCCCTCAGCCCATAAAGCCCACACAGGCTTTATGGTGTGATGCTCTGAAGGTGCCTGAAACATACTCCATGCATGGCAGAGCTGTCTGGCCAAGATGTGCAGTGCTGTCAACCAGAGCTGGGATTGAAGACAAGCAGCTGGCTGATTGGATGCCATGACAAAGAGTTAGGCCAGTTACATATCCTGCAATGTGTGGAAAGATTTGAACTCCTACCTGAGTTAACTGTGGTTCTTATACCAGCTCTGCCTTCCACCCAGCTTCATAGTTTATGAATCGGACTGGCGAGGTGCTGCACTTTGTGCAGGAATCCTGGTGACGGGGACCCAGCAGCATCACATCCTCAGCTGAGTTACTCTAGGCAGCACTGATGAGCTGTTCATGCACCAAAGGCAGCTGTGCTCCTGGAGTCAGTTTGCCAGGCTGATGGCTGGGAGAGCAGCAGAGGAGGTGAAATTATTTTGGGGAAAATATCCCCAATTTAATGTGTTTGCAGAAGTGGGGTTTATTTTCTAGAGGAATCAGGTGACCCATTCCCACAACCCAGCTCCACTGTGCTCTGCACTAATGTTCTTTGTGTCTGGAATTTCACGAGGATAAGTCATTGTTTGCGTAGTGAGTCCAGTATTTCCAGGAAGCACAAGAACTGCTTGTGCACAGACAATCCAGTGCTGTCTGGACACATCAGACACACTACAAAGTCACCTGCCAACTATGCAGAACATGGTCTGTAGGTGTGACCAGCTCCTTGCAGCAGGCTGTCTCCTACATAGGTGCCAGCAATTTACAGGGTATGTGATGCTTCCTGGAATCCCTGGACTTACCATGTAGACCTGTACAGCAGTACATGGGTTACAGAGACACACTTTGGCCTGGCTGCTGTGAGCCTAGAAAGATGCCAAGACAGGTACATGAACTCTCCAGTGGCTCTTAGACATCTCTAAGTGGACAAAAGGAATGAGTTCAAGGAAGTGTGCCTGGACAATAACCTTCCCTCAGTCAGCCAGAGGTGTCCCTGTGCATCCTAGAAATTAAGCTCTCCCAAACAAATTAACGTTTCTCAGTGGGTTCCTGTCCAACACAGTGCCACATCATGAGATGCTGTGAGCTTTTTCTCTTAACCCTTGGAGATACTGAGCAGGGCGTTGTGTAAATGCGCTCCCTGGTAGGCTGACAATGCCACTGCCAACACAATACACTGCAGCTGGAAAGCAGGCAGCTGCTTGGGTTAAGTGGTGTTCCTAAGCCTTGCAAAGTTTCTTGCATGGGATTCCCCAGAGGGGAAGAGGGAGGGAGAAGTGGGGGGTGTTTGCCTGAAGCAGTAATGAATATATTTTTAGTGGAAGGGAAGGGACATCTCTAGTCGTGGGATAACAGCTGCACAATTTCAAAATTCCTCTGACAAGATGCAGCCAATTCCAGGGCTTCGGGGTTTTGAGGTTTTTTGGCTTGTTTTTTTCCAAGCTTCAAGTGCCTTCAGCCAATCTCTTGCTCCCTGAGTGTACTTTTCAAAGCACAGATGCTGTTTTGCTGCATTGCTGAGGTCTGAATGTGATCAGCTCCCTGCTACCATGCATGCTGTGCCCTTAGCATCCCCTAGACCTTGAGCAGAATCCACTGCTTGCTGGAGAAAGCTTTTTACCTGTCAGCATCAGCTGAAATCTCTCTCATTTATGGAAGAGGGATTTCAGTATTTTTGGATACTGGGAATTGTGTGATTGGCTCCATCACCCACTCCTTTTTCTGATTTTGAAATGCAGCTGAGGAAGGGAGACTCAAGCTTGCCAGGCTTTGTGTGGAGCCAGGTTCTCCCCCCAAGGCCCATCAGCAGGGATTTAAAGCACATGCAGGATCTCCATTCTGTACTGTGCCCAGCAAAAGCAGCAGATGAAAACTGTATTCATTTCCCTGCTTTTCTGTCATGTATTCACTGCCTAAAGGAAAGAGGAGGGAAGTAGGTGGCATAAAACATCACCATGGAGTCTTTGCTGTGTTCTGCTGCGTGAGTTCTGCGTGGCAGTTCAAGGGCCCATCTGAAGAAGCAGGTGCCTTTCTTGCTGTCTTGTATCTTCTGGGCCATTGGGAAATTGCATGAGTGTCAGGGGCTGTTGAATTATACTGATGTAATTCCCATTTCCTCTGCTTTATAGGTACAATGGCTTGGTGACTGGCTCTCGAGCTAAAGGTATCATTGCCATCTGCTGGGTGTTGTCTTTCATCATCGGCTTGACACCAATGCTAGGGTGGCACAATCGTGCCCAGATCGAAGAGCTGGGTTCCAACAAGTCCTCTCCCATCAACTGCAGCAACAGTATGGTGGCATGTCTCTTTGAGGCTGTGGTCACCATGGAGTACATGGTCTACTACAACTTCTTTGCCTGTGTGCTCTTGCCCCTACTCCTTATGTTTGGTATCTACTTAAAAATCTTCATGGCAGCCCGGCGACAGCTCAAGCAGATGGAGAACAAGATGGTACATGGGGAACGTTCTCGCTCTACTTTGCAGAAGGAAGTCCATGCAGCCAAGTCTTTAGCCATCATTGTTGGGCTGTTTGCAGTTTGCTGGCTTCCACTACATATTATTAACTGCTTTACCCTTTTTTGCCCAAATTGTGCCCATGCTCCCCTCTGGCTGATGTATCTGGCTATTATCCTGTCTCATGCCAACTCGGTTGTAAATCCCCTAATTTATGCCTACCGAATCAGGGAGTTCCGATACACCTTCCGTAAAATCATCAGCCAGCACATCCTAGGCAGGAAGGAGCCATTCAAGGCAGGAACAGCTAGCTCCAGGACTTCCACTCATGGTGGGGACGCAGAGAACACCAGCATACGAATCAGTGAGTATGCATTGGAGGTATACACCAATGGAGAGATCCACAGGGATCCTGAAAAGCAGGACCTAAACAAATGCAAAGCTGGCTTGGATTGGCACCAGAATGGCAATGCTCTGAACATGGAGGCAAATGGTCATCTCCCACATTCCTGCAAAAATGGGACTCTCTCAGATGTGTGCATGAGCAGGGAGCTGCACAGTGAAGAACTACTTGATGCCCAGGTATCTTACTCGGATCTGGAAAGAGCAGCCTTGGCAGCAGCTGATGTTTCCTGATGAGACTTGCAAAATCTTCCTGATAGAATGATTTTTGGTTTTTTTCCTGTTGGTGACCTCTGCCATGGCAGAAAGGGAGGCTGGGGGACGGGGAGAGAGGTGTGCATCTCAATTGCTATGGAGAAAGGGGTCCCCTCCCCAGGACTGTTGGGATGATCCTAAATACTAGACTGGAGAAAAGCCAAGAGACCCCTGAAATGGACTGAGGAAGGAGGGACACGTTACCCATCAACGACCTGTCACCAAGAGCAGTGCCGAGGTCAAAGGTGGCATTCCAAGTTCAGCACTGGGAGACTCTGCTGATGCAGGCATATCATGACATTATATATGTACTGTGTACCGGTGGTTGTATGTTGGTTTTTCTGGCTTTACCCGCAGGAATAAAAATGTGCCTGGAAGTATTCACTGAATTGCAAAGAGCAGCAGGGAAGGGGTCGTTTAGTACTTTGGCCCTGCAACAAACACAAGGGGGATAGCAACATCTGTTGGTCAGGAAGGATGCCAGCAGCTGCTTGGAGAGGGAAGGAATTTACCTGATGGGAATTTTGGATACCTTCAACCATGGCATTTTGTTCATGTTTTTAAAGCTTATACTGCAACAGGTTGCTTGAATATTTTTTTTCTTGTCTTGATAAGATTACTTCTATGTTAAGTTATAAAAGATGGGCCAGAACTCATATCCATTCCCTGAGCGCTCAACGTTCCAGATGCACAAGGCAAATAAATTCACAGCTCTCTACTTTGAAAATGGAGTCTGTAATATGGATTTCCCTTAGTAAAAGGGCTGTTAGCAGGACTTGGTGCTGCACACAGCAGGCAAACAGGCCAGGCTGTGGTCTGTGTCACCAGGGTGGTCATGCCTCGAGGTGTGTGAGCTGTCTGTAGGCTGGTGGGCACTGTCTGCTGCCTCCCACCCTGTCTCCGTGTTTGACCTCCTGAGCTCCTAGAATGCAAATTCTTTCCATGGCTTCAGATATATGTGGGGGGACCTAATTTTCCATATTTTGTTCATTTTCATCCTCACTCAGAAAGCTGTGGGATCATCATCTTCCTTATTGGAGCAGGGAGGAACACACACTCGTACCTAACGCTTACTTTTTGAATTCCAGTGAGATCTCTTTAAACACCTTTTCTCCTGTGATTTCAGCTTTTTCCTCATGTGCTTTACTGTGAAGCCTGATGTGTCTCTGTGGTGCAGAGGCCAACAGAACTGGGTCTGTTTGGTTAGAAGATACTTCTACTCTGAGAAGCTGAAAGGCATCGGCAGTAGTGGAAACCAGCTTAGGAACTGCAGTAGTCTCCTGTGTAAGAGAACAGGCAAGTTCATGGTGCAGCAAGTCTATGCGCTGGTGTGGTTTGGTGCAGAAGTATTTCACAGCAGTTTGATAATTTTCCGGATCATTTATGAAGCCTGATAGCTCAAGGACATCAGAATGCTACGTTCGGCTTGAATTCTACCTAAAGATTGTCTTGGTTTTGTTCTCCAGACAAATAATTCATGTCTAATACCACCAGCCTTCTGGAGAGACAGGCAATAATGGTCCTACTGGAAAACTAAAAGTCTGCTAATTCCAGGGATCTGATGCTTATTCCCTGGCTAGAAACATCAGAAATATCATCTGCCCAAACCTGGCTCCTCCTGACGTGTGTCAACTAACATTTCAGAAGCCAAATAATCTCTTTTGCAGAAAGGGTAAGGGAACTGGATTTTGATATTTGAGGAAGAGCAGGTTAGGTTTGTGTGTTCTTATTCCATGTTTATTTTATATATTGTGAACTATTAAAATGAAAAGTCAGTTTTATTTGAGGATAATTTTCTTTTTGCCAGTGACGAAGGTGGAGAATAGTTTATAATGCTGAATGTGTTCAAGTACGTAACTGCTCCAGGCTAGCACAAGAGATGGATAAAACCACCACAACCTGTAACAGAAAGACAGGTAAATTTGTAGAACAGTTGACTTTAGAGTTTAATTGAATTGCTGCTTTCTTGGCACGGCTCTTCCACGTAGTCTGACGTCAGAGGAGTGGATTATCACTCCAGCACCACTTACAAACATGAAGCTGTTTCCCCAAGACTCACATTGTAGGTAGTTCCTCTGTAGGGTGACTTGGGATCTTGTTACTCTTGATGTTTCTTGATGGGGTATTTCTGTAGGTTAGTAGTGGGATGGCTCCTCTGACCTCCTGTGTAACAGTGGCAGAGGAACTCAGTCAGGAAAATGGGGATCTGATCTCTTCAGACCTCAGCTGGGAGCTGAAATGTTTCTAAGAATAACACAAGATTACATCCGGTATTCATGTCAATAACAATTAGGTCCACAAAGAAGCAGAGCAGGGAAGCAAGTGTGGGAAAATACCAGCATCGCTCATGTGCTGGAACACACACGAGTGCAGAAGTGTCTCCTATTGAGCTTTAGTTGCCATTGTAATGAGATGTTTCATGCCACATTGCATCAGACTTTCAACAACTGATGTGGGTTGCTCGCTTTCTATTGTTTCCTGAGCTTCTTCATACTCAATTATGCCAGCTTTTTGCTTGGTTGCCACGAGAATCAAGTTGATCTATGTTGATGTGACAAATATAGGATTGTCATTCTGGAAAGCTTGCCCGCCCAACCAGATTGCCATGTAAGCTTACTGTATCTCCAGATGTCTTGAAATTAGCTTTTCTGTTGTTGTATGAGATGCCCACTGAGTGTCCAGTCTCTTTCAATATTAGTGATCCAGATCCGACATGAAAAGGGTGTGTGAAGGGGCTGGCAGATGTGTGCAGGAGGAAGTGCAGTGGGTGTAAGGAGGCAGCATGTTTTACATAGCATTAGGAGTGAGTCTGCAGTCACAGGAAGGAAGGGATGGCAATTGCACCACATGCTGTGTGGGCCTTCTGGCAAACATATGTCTGAGATGGACCTTCAGAAGATGTTTCATTTGTTGTGGGGAGCATGAGCCTTTTGAACAGAATTTTGGACGTCTTATTTCCCAGGGATGACTATGGCAAGGCTTTTTTTTCCCTTTTTTTTTTTTTTTTCTTTTGTTTGTTTGTTTGTGGTTTGGTTTTGGTTTTTTTAAGGGAAAAAAGGAAAAAGAGCTGTAAGTCCAATCAATGAAATATGCTCTTCTGGCAGCATTCTCCACTCTTGAAAAGTACCTGTATTCTAAACTGCATAGAGATCATCAGAAAAGTGAAATTATTTTTTTTCCCACTCATCCCCATTTTCCTTCCAGCTGAAGAACGTTTAGCTGATGGACTACAGCTCTTCTGGATGAACAAAGATGGTACCAAGACAAAGGGAAGAGTGGGGTGACTTATAAGGAGAGGCTGGAGAAGGCCTCCTTGGGAATCCAAGGTTCAGTGGGTCCAGAGAGTAAGAGCTGGGCTAAGAAGAAACTAATTTCATTCAACTGGAACTTCCTACTAAAAATGACTGAAGATCCATAGAGAGATGTGATGCCTCATTTGATGTGAGGGAATCCATGAATTTTACCATTCTCTGAAGTCTTTTTGGCTACAGGGTTTATTTGTTTTATAGGGTTTCAGAGAAAGTAAAGTTTGATCAACTGCCAGGAGTAATTTTATCAAGAGTTCTTCTTGGGGTCCCCTCCTCACTAAGACACTGGGTTTTGTGTGCGCAAGTGAAGTGCACTTACAGTTTTGTCCTGCAGGGTTTCATTTGGATCAGTGAAGCTTGTGCAAGCTTGAACTGCAACTCTTGAACAGAGAAGCAATTTGGCATGGTGAGACAGCTGGGGTTAGTATAGACAGAAAAGGTTTGCTACTGCTTGGTGCTAAGAAGCTTATTGTGCAGATGGACTTGGGAGTTAGTTACATGGGGCAGAGTCTGAATCTTTGTTCTTTGAGAAGAGGCCCCAGGGGATGCTGGTGGATATAGAGAAGTCTCTAAGGTGTGAGCAGAACGGAGGGTTAGAGTGGATGGGAAATCTTGGTGGTGAAGGGTGGTTTGTAGGGGAGATGTTTGGGAGGATTTCAGAGGAGTGGGCATGTGCTGGGAGGTGCTGTGGATGGCCCAGATGCTGCTGGCATGAGACCAAGGTGTGACTTGCTGAGGAAGTACTCTGGAAAGGATGTATAGTCTTAGAGCTCTCCGGGGGACATTGCAGAGGGTCTGCCTTACCTGGTGTGGGAGAAGGGTTCACTTCATAAGGTCTATTAGTGACCAAGGTAGAGACAGTTCTTGTGGATTATCTCCCTTTAGATATATTGTCACATTTTGTGAGTGTGTCCAGGTGCAACAAAAACCCTTCTGCTTCAGGAACATGAGCCCTGCCTAAAACCAAATCAATCCAGCTGTGTCCTGTGGGGAGGATGAGCCTGCTGTAACAGTGCTGTGATGCATTAGAACTGCAGAATACTCTTTAGTGGTCTTTGCTATGTTTAGCTGCCTAATAGTCAGTTCGCTCCCAATTTTCTGGGGGACTCACGCTGCACTGAGTCATCCCAGAGTTTTGTCTTTCTAGCCCTGAGCTTTCGGCCTTCTTTACAGTAAAACACATCAGAAAAAGTAAAATCACACCAGTTCCTTATCTGCATGAGAGGTGCCTAACCCTGACAGACTGAGAATCCCCAAACTGGGGCAATGTTGTTTGTAACTCCCTGTCTTATTTGTCTGCTGGGACTGTTCACACAAGGATGTGTTAAAATCGAGACTGGGACCTGTTGATCTGAGTCCATCCTTTGCTTCCCCCACTCTGTCTCAGGAGTTGGTGTTCTGCCCTCATCCTGTGGAGTGGTTGTCTCTGTGGTCTGCAAACCAAGACACTATGAACACCCTGCTGCACATGCTGTCACTATAAAACAATTACTCTTTTAATTTAAATGGTTTATGAATATAGTTGTTGTTTTCCCTCTATCAGTTACCAGTGGGAGGGGAGAGAAGGGGGTGGGAGAATCTGTGCATGCAAATGTATTTAAAGTGTGTTGACCAAAGGGGTTTTTTTTTTCAATCTGTGAAGTTTTCATATCTGTGAAATGATCAGACTGC